AAAGGCAGAATTTTGGGAATATTTCAGTGGATTCCACAGCTGGTGTTGATGTTCTGCTCGGGTAGGGACGGAATTAACTTTTCCTGGGAGTCTTCTTTGGGATTTGGGAGCTGAGTTTGGCTTTCCCTGGGCTGGGAGTGACCAAAGGGATATTCCATACCTGAAATCTCCTTTTCCATAGGAAAACTGGGATGGAGGAGTGGGAAGAAGGGGAATTTGGCTTCCAGGATTGCCCAGGGTGGGAGGAATAATTATTCTTGGGTTTTGCCTCCCTTTTTTCTTCCACGGTTTTATCTCATCCCAGGAATTTTATTCTCTGAGTGTTTCCTTTCCCATCCCGGTCCTTTTTTTTTGGGGATCTGCTTCCTTCAGGCTTTTCCAATTCCAGCTCAACCTTTGCCCTTCTCTTTTTCCTGGGAAATCCCAAATTTCCAGGCCGGGATTTATCCTCTTCCCGTTATCCAGGTGCTCCAGGACCGTTCCCATTCCACCTTCTTCTTCCTCCTCATCCACCAGGAACATTCCCGGTGATCCTGGCTCTTGGAATTCCAAATCCAGCGATCCCAGTCGAGATCCTGCTGGATCTGGAGCTGGCAGCAGGAATGTGCTCAGGGAGGGTTTTGCTCTCACCTCGGAAATCCTGGGAATTTTGGCCCGAGCGGGTCAGGTGATCCTGCTGGAATGGCAGAACCTGGAATGCCGGAACTTGGAATGCCAGGCCACCTGGATCTGTTGGATTTGGGCCGTGCCGGAGGAGCCGGAGCATCCCGGGATGGAGGGATAATACGGACGGACACCGCGGAGAGCCCGGAAAAATCCAGGGGCTCCTGGTGGAGCCGGGATGTCCCCTCGAGGTGGGGTCGTGCCGGCAAGGGGAATTCCGGAGGTGACGATCCCAGAGATCCAGAGGGTGCTGAACTGCCCGGGAGCATCCAGAACCGCGGGAAAGAATTCCCAGATGCAGAAAAAGGGCTCGGAATGCCTCGCCCGAGTCCTGACCTTGATGAGAGAACATCTGGGATGAGGAATTTTCCAGAGGGAAGGACCCTGGCACCCTCTGGATGCCGTCGCGGTGTTGGGCAGCGCAGGGAGGAGGAGGAAAATCCAGGTCCTTTCCCAAAACATTCCAAGATTTTGCCGTTGAAGGAAAGAAAAACTGGGAATCTCCGATGGAGATCCGTGTGGATGCGGTCAGGTCTGGAAAAGCTCTTGGAAAAGCACAGCAGCTTCCCAGGCACGGCTTTGGTTCCGGCTTTATCCGCTCTGGAGTTAGCGCAGAGCCGGAAAATTCCGTGTTATTTATAGGGACAAATCCGGAAATTCTCCCTTTGGAATTTCCTCTTGGATAACGGGAGAAACGCGCATCCGCCTCCTCCTGAGGTTCCTGGAGGGAAGGAGGCTCCAGAGGGAGCTCGTGGCTCTCCACAATTCCCTGACGGGGAGGGGGAGTTGGGATCCGATCCCAAGGAATAACGGGAAAAGGGGGAACGGCCTCAGCAGGAATTTCCTCATGGAAAAGGCGCTCAGGCCTTGGGAGCGCCCAGGGAGGTTGGGAATCCTCATCCCTGGAGGTGTCCAAGGAATTCCTGGATGTGGCTCTCGGTGCCGAGGTGGGAATCGGGCACGGATCAGAGCAGATGATTCCAAAGGTGTTTTCCAAGCGGAATAATCCCAGGATTTTGTGCTGTTGTGGGGGGCTTTTCCTTGCCCTTTTTCTCCGTGCAGGAATTCTTGTTCCGGGTGAGTTTAAATTCCAGAACTTCCCGTTTGTCCGTCGGCGTTGGGAAGCGGAAGGGAAAGCGAGGAAGGCGTCGTTCGGCTTCTGTGCTGAGCTCTGAAGTTCCCAAGGATCGGTTGGGAATGTTCTCCTGGAGAAGGGAAGAATCCAGGAAGAGCTCAGAGCCCTGGGAATGGCCACGGGATTCCAGAGGGGAGCTGAGATTTTGGGATGATTCAGGATTGGATCCCACTGAGCTCCAGGGACTGTTGCAAATCCCAAATCCTGAGCTGCCTTTATTGGGATTTGGGGAGAATCCAAGGAAAGTCACAGCACCTGGGAATGCTGAGACTGCCCCAAATCCCTGGGAGTGTCCAAGGCCAGGGCTTGGATCCAGCTGGGATAGGGGAAAGTCCCTGCCCATGGATGGGTTGGGAATGGGATGGGATTGAAGGTCCCTTCCCACCCAAACCATTCCAGGATTCTGGAGCCGAGCTGGGAATGTTCCCCTGGAGAAGGGCAAAATGCAGGGAATGCTGAGAGTCCCTGCAGGGGCTCCAGGAGAGCTGGAGAGGGACTGGGGCCAAGGGCTGCAGGGACAGGAGCCAGGGAATGGCTTCCACTGGGAAAGGGGAGATTGGGCTGGGATCTTGGCAAGGAATTCCTGCCTGGGCTGCAATTCCCAGATTTCCTGTGGATCCCTGGATCCCTGGGAATGCCCAAGGCCAGGCTGGACATTGAGGCTCGGATCCATCTGGGATTGGGGAAATATCCCTGATCTGGGGGTGGGATTGGATGGGATCCAAGGTCTTTTCCCACCCAAACCATTCCACGATCCCGGTGCCTGATTTCCGTCGGGCGTTCCCGGTCCCTGCCGTGCTCTCCCTGTCCCAGCAGCGGCGCTTCCCAAAAAAATCCAGCAGGAAGAGGAGGAAGGTGAAGCTCTCCCCGGACCGTTGTTTCCTCCGTCTTGGCATTTCCTTCGGAGCGCTCCGGAGCTCCCGCGGCCCTTCCCAGAATCCTGGACCGGTTTGGGTGGGAAGGGACCTCCGATCCCATCCGATGTCACGCCGTGCCACGGATGGGAACGTTTTCCATAAACCAGCTCATTCCAGGTTTTTCCCAACCTGGATCCCATCCCTGAGGTGAGTGGTTATTCCCAGAGCTGCTCCCGGCTATCCCTGGGAGGTGCAGCGTTGGGAAATAACCCGGAGAGGTAAAAACTCATCCCGTGGGAATCGGGGGTTTTATTCCCATCCTTCGGAAGATTCCCGATCCGTGGAATTAAGGTTGGCGTTGATCCTTTTGTGGTTGGCTTTGGCAGCGTTCCAGGTGCTTCCCACAGGGATTCAGAGGGAATGTTTGTCCTCCGGAGCTGGGAATTCCGGAGGAAACGCGAACGGAAAGGCAGGAGGTGGCTCTGGGAATGTCTTTTTGGAAAACCTCCGGAACGAACTCGGCTTCGCGCGCAGCTCCCGTTGAAATCCGGTTTTGTTTATGGAGGGAGGAGGAATGTCGGGAGAGAGCCGGAATTTTGGGAATGCTGTCTGGTGGGAATCTGGTTATTGTTTGTTTGGAGAGGATTGATAGGATTCATGTTTTTCCTTGGGGGCCTGAGCAGTTTGTACAACCCCAAATCTCACACCCGGATGGGAACAAACTCCGGGAATTGTGTTGGAAAATCCTCCTCTCCCGCTCCTGTGTTTGGTCGTTCCCTGTAATTTTTGTTCCTTGAGCTGTGAACTTCTGCTCATGGAAGAAAATCCCACCCGGATTCAGCTCCCATCAGCCCGGGAAGCCAAACCCCGTGACGGCATCGGCGAGACGAGAACCTCGGGAATTCAGGAATTCAGCGCGGAGCCTCGGGAACGGCCGGGAAAACTGGAAAACCTCAAGAAGAATCCAGCTCCAGGAGACAACAGATGGACAATGGGGGAAATGAGGAATTCCCGGCTTTGGAGTTCTCCCGGTTTGGGCTGGGACGAGGTTGGGATTTGTGCCGTGTTTGGGGTTGGGAATGAGGACGGGAAGCGCTGATGTCGTGGCCGCAGATTTGTCCTCGTCCTAAATCGGAATTTTCCGGTGTCCCCGCTCCGTCCCCGAGGAGCCGCACGAGGACTCGGATTTTTCCCGGTCTCCATCTCGGACGGGGCTCGGAGCAGCCTGGGATAACGGGAGGTGTGGAATGGGACGGGCTCTGAGGTCCCTTCCAGCCCCAAGCCCTGTGGGATTCTCTCTCCAGAGCTCTGAGTTCCCTTTTCCCCCCTTCCCTGGATTTGTACCTTCATTTCCCACCTCCCAGCACCCAAAATCTCTGATTTCACCCAAAATCTCGCTGATTTCACCCAAAATCTCCGTGATTTCACCCAAAATCTCGCTGATTTCACCCAAAATCTCGCTGATTTCACCCAAAATCTCGCTGATTTCACCCGGAATTTCGCTGATTTCACCCAAAATCTCGCTGATTTCACCCAGAATCTCGCTGATTTCACCCAAAATCTCGCTGATTTCACCCAAAATCTCGCTGATTTCACCCGGAATTTCGCTGATTTCACCCAAAATCTCACTGATTTCACCCAGAATCTCGCTGATTTCACCCAGAATCTCGCTGATTTCACCCAAACCGAGCCCCGTTTCACCACGGAGCTGTTTCATGTAGAGATTTTTTTCTTCCTCCTGTACAATTTTTCCTCCTCTCTCTTTCAAACCCTTCCCATTTCCGCTCCGGGAGAGATCGGCTGTTTCCCACCCGCAGAATTCCAGCCTCGTCCCACCCTGTGGATTCTTGCAAGGTTTGCTCTTCACCCACGGGAGTTTCCTCCTGGAAACGGCTCCGGCCTCGGCTCGGCTCCTCCCGGTTGGAACTGGTTGGAGTTCTCCACCTAAAACAATTCCAACTCATCCCTCCATCGTCACCCTTCAGACGGGGGGAGGGATTCCACGCTTTGCCTTCCCGCTCCTAAAATCGTTATTAATTGTAATTCAACCCAAATCTGTTGTCACAAAAAATCCAAACTCCAGGTTTGAAGCGATGCCGTCGCGTGCCATCCATTAAGCTCGTTAACCACCCGTTTAATTAACCCTTTATAATTTAAACCTTTTGAAACGGCGAAACGCCGACGTTTTTTCCCCCCCCGCTGATTTTTTTCGGAGGGGCGCGAACCCCGCTTCCCGTAACTCGCGTTGCTTTTCCTCCCCGTCCTAGCAGCCGAGCCGTGAGCAGAGATACCAAAAACAAACCAAAAAAAAATGACCCATCTAATCCTTGTCTTTTAACTTGCAGCTTTGTGTTGTTCTTGGAAAGTTTGGCACCACTTGTGAATTCCCTGAACCTTGGCCTTGCCGGCCCCTTTGTGTCGGGCCCTCCTCCTCCTCCTCCTTTTCAGCTTGCCCAAATTCAGACCCACGTGGCTCTCCGGCGCGGCGGGCGGGCACCTCCCCACGCTGGCGTCCGCCGGGCATTGCTGAAAGACGCAATGTTTAACCCCAGAGGAACCTTGCCCCCGAGGCCCAGAGGACCCAACCCGGCGGGCGCCAAAACGCCACCGGCGGCTTTCGGGGCCGCGGGCGCCGCGGGGCCGCCCAGGAAAGCGGCGCCCGCCACGCCCCAAGGAGCGCCCCAAAGATTCTCGGGGCAGGAGGCGCTGCAGTGGACGGGCTCGCAGAGGATCAACGTCCGCGTCACGCTGCACAGGGCCGACCCCAGGAAAGTCAAGGAGAAGAGCGGCCTGCACCCGGAGCAGAAGGGAGATCCGCGCGCCAACCGCTGGGACGGCGGCCCCTGCCCCGCCGGGCCCAAAGCGCCCGGCCCGGTGCCGGTTCTGGAGCAGAATTCCAACCCGCAGAACCGCTACACGCCCGAGAGCGCCTCCAGCATTTTAGCGAGTTTCGGGCTGTCCAACGAGGACCTGGAAGAGCTGAGCCGCTATCCCGACGATCAGCTGACCCCCGAGAACATGCCGAGGATCCTGCGGGAGATCCGAATCCGGAAGATGGGCCACGCCGTGCCCGTCCTGCACGCTGCGAGCCGCGGGGAGGAGCCGGTGGGCGAGAGCGGCGGCGCCGTCAAGGGCAAAGTGATCGACTACGGCCACGCCAGCAAGTACGGCTACACCGAGGACCCGCTGGAGATCCGCACCTACAACCCCGAGGCGCTGCCCGAGGAACCGCCGGAAGCGCCCGTCTACAACGCCGACGGCTCGAGCGCGGAGAACCGCGAGGAATTCCAGCGGGAGCAGAGCGTGCCGGTGGCCGTCCCGCCGCCCAACGTGCCGTGCGGCCCCGCCTTCCCGGCCGAAGAGCTCGTCAAGCTGCCGGCGTTTCCCGGCGATTCCTCGCCCGCTCCGCCGTTTTTCCCGGCCGAGCCGCCGGCCAAGGTGCCGGTGCTGTGCGGCGCCGCTCCCGCCGCGCTGCCGGCGCCCAAGCCGGCGTCGCAGCCGCCGATGCCGCCGGTGCTGCCGCCCATGCTGCCGGCGCTGCTGCCCACGCCGCTGCCGCAGCCCATGCTGCCGCCGGGGATGCCGCCGCTGGTCCAGCCGCCCGTGTCCCAGCACGTGTTGCCGCCTTTGACGCCTCCGCCCTTCTCGGCCGGGCTCTTGGCCGCCATCAGCCAACACGAGCAGAAACAACGCGACACCGGCGCCGCGCACGCCGGGCCCGGCGCCGCCCACGCCGCGTCCTCGGCGGGACACAAACCCTTCCACAAATCCTTCCAGCTGCCGGCAGAGGAGCCCATCAAATCCCCGTTCGGGGTGGTGAAGGCGTCCTGGCTGCCCGTGTTCCCGAATTCCCAGAAGAACAAACGCCTGCCCACCCCGTCCATGATGAACGACTACTATGCCACGTCGCCGCGAATATTCCCACATTTGTGTTCTCTGTGTAACCTTGAATGCACTCATATGAAGGTGAGTGGCTTTCCCAGATTATTCCCAACTTTTTTTTTTCCTGCCTGCCGCCGGTTGTTTTTCCCCGCGGGAATTCCGTGGATTAGGATGCCGAGCGCTTTTGGGATCGGCGCTAGAAAAGATTGTAACGGCGTTGCGTTGTGCATTTCAGAGTCGATTGAAAATGTTGATTTTGGTTTTAATTATTATTAATTTTTTTATGATATCGGAACCGTTTCTGATTTTGCAGCGGGTTTTTTAATTAATTAATTGAATTGATTTTCGTTAATTAATTTTTTGTGTGCGTGGGCGGGGGACTGCAATCGTTTCTCGGGGTGAGTGAAATATTTGTGTGTTCATTCCTCCCCTTCCTCCTCCTCCTCCAAACTCTGCCTGAAAACAAAACGAGATTTAAAACCCAAAATTTTCACCTTCCAAACCCGGCACGACGCCGGACATTCCAGAGAATATTCCAGAGGGAAAACGTGTCCCGTTCGTCCCGCCGGGCTCCCGGCCTCGGAGGAAATCACGGTTTGAGCTCGGAAAGGAAAAATAAAGGGAGAAAATGGTGGATATTGGGAGATAAAAAAAATATTTTGGATGTTTTCCCGGAAAATCCAGAGGTTTGAGCCGTCAAAAAAGACGGGAGAAGGTGCAATAATAATAATAATAATAATAAAAAGTAGCTGGGATAATTTATTAATAATTATTGAACGTGTTTGAGCTGCAAAGTGTGGAGAGAGGCTGGTGGGGAGGGATTTTTTGGAATTTGGTAAAATCTTGGAGATTTTTAGGATTCTTTTTGTGCCTGGAATGAAAAATCTGATGGAAAACGGGAACGGTTTTGTTAGGGAAAAGCAACCAGAAATTCCCAAAGCCTTTTTGTCGGGGAAATGGGAAAAGAGAGGATGATTCCCAATAAAAAATGGGATAAATGGAGCAGGGAGACACAAGTGGGGGAGGTTTTACCAAAGGAAAAAGGAATTTGGGAAAAGGGAATGAATTTAAATGGGAAAATTCCAGGAATTTAAGAGGGAAAATCCGTTGGTGAATCGGTTCTGGCTGAGGTTTTTGGGGTGGATGAAAAGTTGGGAGATCTTTTCCTGGTGGGATGGGATGAATTCCCAGAAATCCTGATCCGACTGTAGCTTCCCAAATCTGCTTCGGGCCGGAATCGCTTCCTTTGGGAAGCATTTGGGGTTTGTCTCCCGGGCACACGATCCAGAAGAATTTGGGAATTTTTATCCCTAAAATAACGAGATGAAGAAACGACCGGCTGGAATATCCAGGAATTCCTGAGCTCCGAGACTTCCTCTCAATCCCAGCTCCGGAGTTTGAAATCCTTTGGAATCCGCTGGGTTTTGGGGTGGTTGGAGACGAGCCGGACGTTCAAGGTTTGTCTTCCCAATTATTCCTGGATGGCAACTCGGGGTTGGAAGAGCCACCAGATCCGGCGATTCCCGGTGATTCCCGGCGATTCCCGAGGACTCGAGACATTTGATTTGACCCTGGATTTGGGGTGGTGGCACTGGAATTGTCACCGCTCCGTGTCCGGGTGGCGGCGGCCGCGCCGGGATCGGGATCGGCGCCGTTCCGACATCTCCGTCGGCGACGAGGACGCCGGGATCGCACCGGGAGGGATTTTCCTGGAGAGGTTGGATCATCCCAACCGGGAATTCCTGGAGCAGGACAATCCCAGCCCGGATCCGAGATGGGAAAAGCAGCTCTGGGAGAAGGACTTGAGGTGTCGTGGTGGAGAAGCTCCAAATATCCCGGAGAGATCCGCGGGAAAAGTGGGAATTCTGCCCTCCTGGGGAGCTGCCTCCGGTTTTGGAGCAACATCAGGAGGATGTGGAGCAAATCCAGAGGTTCTGGAGCTGCTCCAGGGTTGGAGCTGGGAATGTTCTCCTGGAGAAGGGGAAAATCCAAGGAAACGTCAGAATTCCTTAAAGGGGCTCCAGGAGAGCTGGAGAGGGATTTGAGGGCTGGAGGGACAGGAGCCAGGGAAAAATGGGGAAAATTGGGATTGGGGTGGGATTTTGGGATGGAATTCCAGCCTGGGAGGGTGGGGAGGGGCTGGGATGGAATTCCCAGATTTGCTGTGGATCCCTGGGAATGCCCAAGGCTGGGTTGGGATGGATTTGGATCCAGCTGGGATTGGGGTGGGAATAAGATGGGATTTAAGCTCTTTTCCAATCCAAAGCATTCCATGATTCCGGGATAACGGGAACCGACATCGGATGAAGATTCCCAACGAGGAAAACCTTCCCAATCCAACGCCGGAAACAAAATTCCAACGGCGGATTCCGAGGTCGGGCCGTCGGCGCCGAGCTCTTTTCCCACGGATCCTTTTAATCCATTCCCCGCGGGAAGAGAAGATCCAAACATCATCCCTCCATCTTGGCCAAAATTCCTGGATTTTCTGGAATTCCTGGAAAAGCTGAATTTCCCCTGGAAAAAAAACAAAAAAAAACTGGATTTAATTTTTCACAGATTCGTTCCGTTTTAAGGTGGATTTTTTTAAATTTTTTTTGCTTCAAAAGCCACAGATTTTGGTGTTTCCCACTCGTATCCGTGGGAATTTTTTTTATGGAAAAAGGATCATTTGAAACTTTGAATAGTGGGAATTTTGGGAAAAATTTGTGGGAATTTATGGAAATTTGATGTTGGGGAAGCAAAGGAATTTGATTTGGCCAGGTTTTTATCTCAGGCAGAAAAGGACAAGGTGAGAGGTTGGATTCAGAATTTTGAGGGATTTTCCAGCCTCAGGAATTCCGGGAATGTTCCCGTGGGATCCTCAGGGTTGGCTGTGAGGAGGTGAGGCCACACCAAGGTGGATTTTTGGGAATTAAAATCAGAATTTGAGGCAAAAATCCACGCTCGGGCCGAGTATTCTCAAAAATCTTCGTGTCCTGGATGGTTTTTTTAGGGAAAAATTCCCGATTTTGCGCGGGATTGGCGGGGTCCGACCCCGCCGCCGTTGCCTTTCAATTCTAACTTCCCAAATCCTGAAAATTTCCGAGGATTTTATGGATTTCTGCTCGGAATCACGTCCCGAAGCGGGATTTGTGGGATTCCTCCCTCTCCGGACGCCTCCCGTTCCGGATGAAGCGGATTTCCCGGGATAACAACGATTCCTTCATCCTCAATCCCATCCCCTTTGGAATGAAGTGGATTTGAACCGTTCCCAGCACAAGGAATGGGATTTATCCGTATTTTTATCCCTTTTTATTCCCAAAAATCCCTTCGAAGTCGGGAGCGACGCCTCCTCGGACCTGGAATCTGCAAAATCCTTGGAATTTTTCTGTTTTCCGTGAAGATTTACCCTCGGAATTCCTTCGTTGGAATTGCTCCGTTGTCTTCCTCTTCCAGGATTTCTCGGTGCTGATCCGTGAAGGAGAGGGATGGAATTAGGGAAGGGTGGGAATATGGAGGAGTTTGGATGGAATTTTGGGATCATCTTTAAATTCTCTTCCATTCCATGAGAATTCCGTGGGCGAAATATTCCCGAAGAATTGAAACGAGCGGGAATGAGGAAAATCCATAAATCCAGAGGGTTTTGGTTGGTGAGGACTCGGCAAAGAGGAGAAGATTCCCAAAAAATCTTGGATCCCTCCTTGGCACCGTGGGATTGGAATTCTAAATTCCCTTTTCATTCCCAAGTTTTCCTTGAGAAAAAGTTTTGGTTTCTCCCGGTTAAATGGAAGCCTGGAAAAATCTGGATCCTTGGGAATAGGATTGTTTAGGCCTGGAATTAGGGAAAAACCCGCTTGGAATGTTGAAATTGCCGCTTTATCCGGGAATTATTCCATCATCCCGACTTTTCCCATCCTTTATTTTCCCGATTATCCCGGATTTTATCGGATTTTGTGCCGTAAGAGCAGCCGGGAGTGAATTTTTTTTCCCGAGGATATTTAATAATTCTCACGGCTGATGTTCCGCCTTGAAGAATTCCAGAGTTTTCCAAGGAATATCCCTTCTCCGTAAAAAACCGCCTCGTTTTTTTCCCAGTTCCCTGTCGATATTCCCAATAAACCCCGAATTTAGGGATTTTTTTTTTTTTTTAGGGAATTAAATCCCATTTTTCTCGGATTTTTAAATGCTAAACGAGCCTGGAAAAACACCCCAGCTTGAGTGAATTAATTGATTAATTAATTGATTTAATTCACGGATTTAATCTAATTAATTGCTTTAATTAATTGATTTAATTGAGGTTTCTGTAGCGGTGTGAATCAGCTTTTCATCTCTTGCCCAAATTCCATGGAAATGGGACTTTTCCGAGGGAAAACTGGGCTGGAAGGAGAAGGAAGCGGCGGCTCCCGAGGGATCGGGCCCATCCCGGCGTTTTCCGCGCTGATCCGGCTTTTCCCGGTGTTTTTTCTTCCTCCTCAGGATTGGATCCTGCACCAGAACAACCCCGCCCACCTCGAGAGCTGCCGCAGGCTGCGCCAACAGTAAGGGATCCAATCCCTGGGGATCCACTGGGAATCTGCTGGGAATCCATTAGGAATCCATTGGGAATTGGGAGACCCCTGGGAATCCATTGGGAATTGGGAGACCACTGGGAATCCATTGGGAATCCCTTGGGAATTTGGGATCTGCTGGGAATCCATTGGGAATTGGGAGACCACTGGGAATCCATTGGGAAGCCGCTGGGGATCCGCTGGGGATCTGTTGAGAACCTGCTGGGAATCCATTGGGAATTGGGAATCTGCTGGGAATCCATTGGGAATATGCTGGGGATCCATTGGGAATCCATTGGGAATCCGGGATCTGCTGGGGATCCATTGGGGATCCGCTGGGGATCTGTTGAGAACCTGCTGGGAATCCATTGGGAATTGGGAATCTGCTGGGAATCCCTTGAGAAGCTGCTGGGGGTCCATCGTGAATCCGCTGGGAATACATTGGGAATCCCTTGAGAATTTGGGATCTGCTGGGAATCCTTTGGGAATCCGTTTGGAATCCATTGGAAATCCGTTGGAAATCCATTGGGAATCCATTGGGGACTGGGGATCTGCTGAGAACCTGCTGGGAATCCCTTGGGAATCTGCTGGAAATCCATTGGGAATCCCCTGGGAATCTCTTGGGAATTGGAAATCCGTTGGGAATCCATTGGAAATCCCCCATTGGAAATCCCCCGGGAATCTGCTGGGAATTGGGAATCCTCTGGGAATCCATTTGGGATCCATTGGGAATCCTTTGGGAATTGGAAATCCATTTGGAATCTGCTGGGAATTGGGAGTCCACTGGGAACCCATTGGGAATCTACTGTGGATCCATTGGGAACCCATTGGGAACCCATTGGGAATTGGGAATCCGCTGGGAATGCGTTTGGAATCTGTTGGGAATTGGAAATCCATTTGGAATCTGCTGGGAATTGGGAGTCCACTGGGAACCCATTGGGAATCTACTGTGGATCCATTGGGAACCCATTGGGAACCCATTGGGAACCCATTGGGAATTGGGAATCCGCTGGGAATGCGTTTGGAATCTGTTGGGAATTGGAAATCCATTTGGAATCTGCTGGGAATTGGGAGTCCACTGGGAACCCATTGGGAATCTACTGTGGATCCATTGGGAACCCATTGGGAATCCATTGGGAATCCATTGGGAATTGGAAATCCATTTGGAATCCATTGAGAACCCGCTGGGAATCTGCTGGGAGTCCATTGGGAATCTGCCAGGAATCCATTGGGAATCTGGTGGGAATTGGGAATCTGTTGGAAATCCATTTGGAATCCATTGGGAATCCCCTGGGAACCCACTGGGAATTGGAAATCCGTTGGGAATCCATTTGGAATCTCCTGGGAAATTGGAGTCCACTGGGAACCCACTGGGAATCCATTGGGAATTGGGAATCTGTTGGAAATCCGTTGGGAATGATGGGAATCCGCTGGGAATCCTGGAATGCCGGGGAGGGACCTTAAATCCCACCAATTCCCACCCCATCCATGGGCAGGAACAGCTCCCACCATCCCAATGGATCCAAATCCATCCCAACCCGGCCTTGGGCATTCCCAGGGATCCACAGGAAATCTGGGAATTCCTTCCTAGGATCCCAGCCCAATCTCCCCTTTCCCAGTGGAAGCCATTCCCTGGCTCCTGTCCCTGCAGCCCTTTCCCAAATTCCAGCTCTCCTGGAGCTCCTTTAGGGACTCTGAGGATTCCCTGGATTTTTCCCTTTTCCAGGGGAACATTCCCATCTTTCCAAAATCCTGGAATTCTTTAATAAAAACCTCCAATCCCATCCAGGAATTCCCATCCAGCCTCACCTCAGAGACCCAAAAATCAACGTTTGGCGCTTTGGGAATCCCACGTGGGAATATTGAACGGGAAAAATCCTGGCTTTTTTGGGAATTTTGCCTTTTCCTCTGAGGTTTTTCTGTTGTTGTTTGCAGATATCCCGAGTGGAATCCCGAGGCTCACTCCTCCAGCAGGTACCGCGCCCTTTCCTTCCTTCCCCTCATTCCCAGCCAGGAATTCCTCACAGGAAACAATTCCCAGATTTTTATCCATTATTTTCCCCCATTTATTTTCCCATTTTTTCCATTTATTTTCCATTTTTCCCCATTTTTTTTCTCTTTTCTTTTTCCCATTTATTTCCATTTGTTCTCCATTTTTCTCCATTTTTTTCCATTTTTTCCTGGTTTTCCCCATTTTACCATTTATTTTCCCCATTTTTCCCTCTTTTTTCCCCATTTTTTCCCATTTTTTCCCATTTTTCCCATTTTTTCCTTTTTTATTTTTTATTTTTTTTCCTTTTTTTCTCCCTTTTTTCCCCTTTTTTCCCTTTTTATCCATTTTTTCCCATATATTTTCAAATTTCATCGTTTTTTCCTGTTTTTTTCCCATTTTTTCCCATTTTTTCCACTCTTTTCCCAATATTTCCCAGTTTTCCCAGGTTTTTTCCTTTTTTTCCCTTTTTTATCCATATTTTCCCATTTCTTTTCCAGTTTCTTCCATTTTTCCCTGTTTTTTCCCATTTTTCCCCATATTTTTCCATTCCATCCTCACCTTGCACATTCCAAGGATAATTCATCCCAAGAATCAACCCTGACAAATCCTTGGGAATCGGCGCCTCCTGCTTTTCCCTGGAATTTTTGGAGTTGTCGGGAATTCCTTCCCGAACTTTCTCTTTTCCCGGTGGGAACAATTCCAGAATCCCAAACCCCACTCGGCTCCCCCGGAACTCAAACAACTCCAAACTATTCCTGAATTGTTCCCTTCTCCAATCCCACTGTTCCTGCTTTTCCTGAGGAATCCTGAGCTTTTCCCTCAGCAACCCTGAGTTTCCCCTCAGGAATCCCAAGTTTCCCTCAGCAATCCCAAGTTTTCCCTCACAATCCTGAGTTTCCCTCAGCAATCCCAACTTTCCCTCAGGAATCCCAGGTTTTCCCAAGGGAGGAATCCTGAGTTTTCCCTCACAAATCCCAAGTTTTCCTCTCAGGAATCCCGAATTTTCCCAGCAATCCCAAATTTTCCCTCAGCAATCCCAAGTTTTCCCAAGGCATCACAAGTTTTCCCTCAGCAATCCCAAATTTCCCCTCAGGAATCCCGAGTTTTCCCAAGAAATCCCAAGTTTTCCCCTCAGCAATCCCGAGTTTTCCCTCAGAATCCC